ATAATATTGGCACATCTGGTTGAAAAACAGTATAAGACAGTAACAGTAAGATACATATAGCATATATACCAGTGGTCCAAAAAAAAAACGGTAAGCCGATATATTTGGAAAAAAAATTCTGTGCATTCTTATTCCGGAAAGCGGTCAATCGAACTGCTTAGACCCCCAGTTAGTCTTAATATGTGTATGAAAAAACTTTAAGCAAAACATTTGTTTATTATTACATTTCATTATAGTTTTATAACTATACATATTATAATTTTTATTATGACGATTATTATAGTAAACATCATGACATAGGGATGTTACGTTCGAGCTCTGCAATTAACTGCTCAAGTGCCCTTGACAATAAATGTTATAACGGTGACTGCAAAAACTCAGTAATTACATCTATTCTGTTTTGGCTGGCCAGGTGCGCGTAAACTTCTTGAAACAATATCTACGTAAATCTTTCCTCCATAAAGCAGATGATAAAAAGAACTCCTAAGCCGTAGACTTCTTAACACTTCGTCTCGGAGTTTAAATTAAGGTTCATTCCAGCCAGCTCCAACCAAATCCACCTCTCCGTCGGGAATGTTTCTATGGGAAGAAGAGGAAAATAAGGAAGAAAATGAACAAAGCGAATTGAAGAAGTTTACAACGCACGCAAAGTAAACTGTGATTTAAACTGGAACAAGAGTTTCATCCTGTTTACTTCTGGTGAGCTCTCATTATAAATCGAAGAAAGCAGGCCCAATGAGTTTAAGCACAACACACAAGTGTGAAATTTGATCTGGTGTAGCACAGGCATAAGTGCTTCGTTCTCGTGCTTGAAAATATATCTACTTTTAATCGAAATGAATTGTAAATAAATAAGTTTGAATAGTGAGTTTTGTTAATAATAATAATAATAAAAATAATAATAATAAAAATAATAATAATAAAAATAATAATAATAGTAATAAAACAAAGTAATAATTATAATTATTATAATTTATTTCAATCCTTACTCTTTGCACAATCCACATGACAACTTGCAAGTCTCGTGAATGTTGCCAAGATTTTGCAAGAGTCCCGGCCAGTCGCACAGTCCATTGAGTGCATACGAAACACACATCGAGTCCTCATCACTGCAAAGACCTAAACCAAACCAAATATTTTTTTTTGGAAATGGGCTGGGTTGCACATTCATCAAATACGAAGCAGAAAAGTATAATTGCACCAAGATATAAACCTGAAGAAGATTTAAGGAAAGTGGACTTTGTAATACAATTACTTTCAGTGCATTAGTTACTTAAACCCGCCTTTGATAGTAAATGCACATTTTCTGTCAATAAAAATCGCTCCGCTGTGTACATCTAATATTTGGTGGTGATCTCGTGGAAGATCTCTGATTTTGTTTATAAAGGAACAATGGCTCCGTAATACTAGTTAACGCGCAGTAGCTAAAAGGTCAAAAGACCTTATTCACGATACCCACCATCTTTGTATGCGCTTAGGCTCTGATAGAATAAAAGCGATGTCACGTGTTTTTTCAAGGGGGAACGTGATAAAATCTGCAAATAGAAGAAATCGCGGTCCGGAGGTTGTTAATTCTAGGCAAAACTAAATGAATAACTTTTAATATTACAGACGATAATTGCAAATTATGGAAGTGAGTGATGATTGTTACTTTTTTGACACAGTAGCAAACAAAGACGACTCTCAAGAAGAAAACCTGTCAAAACTTGAACTGTACATATTGCATAATTAAAATCGTCATCTCAATTTCAGAGTATAAACAAACTTGTCTGCAATTACTTATATTGAAAAATTTTATCTTTTGTTGTTTGCCCTAAAGCGCATGCACTTGAAATGACGGAATGGTGAATAAGGTCTATTTACAGTTGGACGTACGTTTAGCAAACCAGCCTTCTAGTGGAAGTGAGGCTGAGTACCATTCTAATGCATAACAGCATGATTTACACTTGAAAAGAAGTGAGTTTTCAGTTGTTGTAATTTTCACATGTAGGTATTTCAAATTAAGTTGAAATACCACTGCTCTAAGCCAATCGATTGCAGAAAGTTCTCATGTAGTAGTATAACCTATACTAATTTCTTTGCAAGGCAAACGGCTAGACTTAGATTTGCTCCGACAACTATGCGCTGTCAATACTATCAAGTCTACGACAATAACTTAAACAACAACAACATAAGCACTCAATTGCGAGCATGTTTTATAGATACATTATATTCTGTGAAAAAAACTTGAAATCTTGAAAGTGCAAAATACGAGGAAGAGGCTGAAGTTGTCAGATATATGACGCTTGAATGGACGCTTCAAACAGACTCATCTCGCACCCAATTAGATGGGATCAAGGGTCTTAGGAAATTAAGTATATCCTCTTAAGAATAAGAGCAAACACTTTAACTTCAATATTGTGTACTTTGACTACAGTAATGAGCACCATGAAAAATCTGAAAGACCAGTTGTAATATTATAGGGAACGTTTCGCCAATGATTAAAGTTACAACTTACCATTAGTGCCCTTATGGTCTGTTAGATTACCACTTGAAATTTCAACGAGAATGGCTAATGCCAAGAACAACAAATTCACAGACATTTACAGACCTTGCAATAAAATTTGCGCACCAACACCATTTTGATTCATTATTTTTAGTTACAAATGTCTTGTTGAGGCTGTTCTGTTATAGCACAATGTTTTTCGTGCCTCAACGAGATCATTTCGTAAAGTGGGTGATTAACAAGATCTTTTGACCCGTAAATTCAGATATGAATGTAAGACCATAAAGCTCTTATTTCAGGCAGCTGGTGGCCCGCATTTTTATCATGTCATTAATAATAAACCAAGGATGCGTTCGTTTGAGCTTATTTCCGGGATAAGAAAAAAATGGAATAAACTTTAGAAGACACTTGCTCAGGCTGACATTACATCATAATATTGGCACATCTGGTTGAAAAACAGTATAAGACAGTAACAGTAAGATACATATAGCATATATACCAGTGGTCCAAAAAAAAAACGGTAAGCCGATATATTTGGAAAAAAAATTCTGTGCATTCTTATTCCGGAAAGCGGTCAATCGAACTGCTTAGACCCCCAGTTAGTCTTAATATGTGTATGAAAAAACTTTAAGCAAAACATTTGTTTATTATTACATTTCATTATAGTTTTATAACTATACATATTATAATTTTTATTATGACGATTATTATAGTAAACATCATGACATAGGGATGTTACGTTCGAGCTCTGCAATTAACTGCTCAAGTGCCCTTGACAATAAATGTTATAACGGTGACTGCAAAAACTCAGTAATTACATCTATTCTGTTTTGGCTGGCCAGGTGCGCGTAAACTTCTTGAAACAATATCTACGTAAATCTTTCCTCCATAAAGCAGATGATAAAAAGAACTCCTAAGCCGTAGACTTCTTAACACTTCGTCTCGGAGTTTAAATTAAGGTTCATTCCAGCCAGCTCCAACCAAATCCACCTCTCCGTCGGGAATGTTTCTATGGGAAGAAGAGGAAAATAAGGAAGAAAATGAACAAAGCGAATTGAAGAAGTTTACAACGCACGCAAAGTAAACTGTGATTTAAACTGGAACAAGAGTTTCATCCTGTTTACTTCTGGTGAGCTCTCATTATAAATCGAAGAAAGCAGGCCCAATGAGTTTAAGCACAACACACAAGTGTGAAATTTGATCTGGTGTAGCACAGGCATAAGTGCTTCGTTCTCGTGCTTGAAAATATATCTACTTTTAATCGAAATGAATTGTAAATAAATAAGTTTGAATAGTGAGTTTTGTTAATAATAATAATAATAAAAATAATAATAATAAAAATAATAATAATAAAAATAATAATAATAGTAATAAAACAAAGTAATAATTATAATTATTATAATTTATTTCAATCCTTACTCTTTGCACAATCCACATGACAACTTGCAAGTCTCGTGAATGTTGCCAAGATTTTGCAAGAGTCCCGGCCAGTCGCACAGTCCATTGAGTGCATACGAAACACACATCGAGTCCTCATCACTGCAAAGACCTAAACCAAACCAAATATTTTTTTTTGGAAATGGGCTGGGTTGCACATTCATCAAATACGAAGCAGAAAAGTATAATTGCACCAAGATATAAACCTGAAGAAGATTTAAGGAAAGTGGACTTTGTAATACAATTACTTTCAGTGCATTAGTTACTTAAACCCGCCTTTGATAGTAAATGCACATTTTCTGTCAATAAAAATCGCTCCGCTGTGTACATCTAATATTTGGTGGTGATCTCGTGGAAGATCTCTGATTTTGTTTATAAAGGAACAATGGCTCCGTAATACTAGTTAACGCGCAGTAGCTAAAAGGTCAAAAGACCTTATTCACGATACCCACCATCTTTGTATGCGCTTAGGCTCTGATAGAATAAAAGCGATGTCACGTGTTTTTTCAAGGGGGAACGTGATAAAATCTGCAAATAGAAGAAATCGCGGTCCGGAGGTTGTTAATTCTAGGCAAAACTAAATGAATAACTTTTAATATTACAGACGATAATTGCAAATTATGGAAGTGAGTGATGATTGTTACTTTTTTGACACAGTAGCAAACAAAGACGACTCTCAAGAAGAAAACCTGTCAAAACTTGAACTGTACATATTGCATAATTAAAATCGTCATCTCAATTTCAGAGTATAAACAAACTTGTCTGCAATTACTTATATTGAAAAATTTTATCTTTTGTTGTTTGCCCTAAAGCGCATGCACTTGAAATGACGGAATGGTGAATAAGGTCTATTTACAGTTGGACGTACGTTTAGCAAACCAGCCTTCTAGTGGAAGTGAGGCTGAGTACCATTCTAATGCATAACAGCATGATTTACACTTGAAAAGAAGTGAGTTTTCAGTCAAAACAAGGTCACCTACGGCCTTGCTTTCACTCAAGGCCAGGATACCAAGTACGCATAGTATATTTTTTGCTATCATACCAACATTCAGTGGAACAGAATACACATCTTGATTTGCATTGTTGAGATGAAGTCGTTGCTGACGTTTGTAGGAATGATTTTGATGCTGTTGCTTTGTTTCATGTGAATGTTTAGTTAGAAAATTCTTTCTATACGCCGTGTTCCTGGCTAAAATAAGACCCCAGAGAAGGTTTGCACGAGATGCCTTTTCAATGCCAGGTCGTCTGTGATAATTTGCCTTCTTGCTCGCTGTGGAAAGTAAAGGAAAAGACACATACTAGAAAACTTAAAAACGTTTTAAGAACTATCAAGTAAAATGTAATAAATGAGGAGGTATGATGAACTTTATCGTCCGATGGAAACTTTGAATTTCCCATCGTAAACTATTTTCAAAACTTTTCATACAAATTAGTTCCAAAAATAATTAGAATACTTTTACGTATACAAAACCGAACAACTAACTAGACATTTTCAGTAGGCGTTAAGAATAAAAAAAACTGACAAATATATTAGGTAACCCTGAGTTCTTATAACAACCACAACCGCAAAAGAAAAATGCTTGGCGTTGGCTTTCTGTGGGATAACTTGTGATTATCTTTGTACAGGCTAACTACTTTCTGAAGAATTTTTTATTGGCTTCTCAAGGTCGTGCTGACTCCGTGATCATTTTAATATTTTTTTTCAAATGAGAAAAGTTGCCGATGATAAATTTAACATTCACGCTAAATAGACTTGAGTGAATTAAGTGTCTTGCTTTTGTTCTATTTGTTCGCTTGTATGCTTGTTTTTCAAACTCCGTGCTATTTAATATTTCCCTCAAAAGAGCTTTGCAAAAAACGTCTATTGTATATCATTATTTTGTCATGTTTGGAGCAAGCTGTGCATTCTAGTGTCCCCTGCGGCTTCGCTTAATTTGATTAATTGTTTAAAACAAACCCGCAATCATTCAATTAGAAAGACCTCATTCAACTCTGCTTACCTTTATGATGCCTCGTATGGACTACATCGAGATATAACAAGAAGATAAGAAGAAAAATAGGGATTTTAAAACAGAGAATTTTCATAATGTTATGTCAGTTGAATAAAGTAGGAACTTCCACAAAGAACTCATGCATTTATTTAGTTTTGACAATTCAATTAAAAGTGATTGTGGTCATAAATAAATATCGCAGGTCCCTAATGCACGGTTACTGCAATAACTGAATGATCGATAGATATCTAAACGCTCCTATTTTCTCAAAAGCTATAAATCTGTCAGGTAAACCATAATTCCGAAACCCTTTTTGACCAGCGAACAAAGTGCGAAAATCAAGGAGCATCGACGTTGGTTTACTTTCTGAGGCCACTGGTAAGGGAAGACAACAGGTTACTGTTGTTCCGACTGAATAACCTGCAATAGGAGACCTGCTGTCTAGTGCTGCTATCCTAGTGGAAACGAGAAAGCGTAGGGAAAGGTATCTGCTTTGGATGGAGGAAAACGGGAAAATAAAGGGATTGTGTGAAATACGCGTCAATACATCACAGACTGACAACGATTGTGGTCTAATCTTTACAAGAGTATGGGTCAGAGTTATCTGTCAGCAAAAGAACGAAACCTGCCTTTACTGACTAATTAGCTAGTTGACAAAGCTCTACAATCTCTCAGATTCAGATTGGCGGTTAGCAGGAAATCTTTTATAGACCCATTGGGCGCCTGGGTGAGTAGTCCCTATTGCTGGCTGGCGATACAGCAAATAAGTTGAACAACTGACACTTGCCAGACATTCAGGGCGGAAGACGTTCTGCGCAAGCTTCTGCGCTTCCCTTGCCGCAGGCTCAAGGCGGGCTTTTCTGTGTGTTGACTGTGTTTGTTTGTTGCTGGAGTTCTGAGTGAAAGGCACGAGGTGCTAACGTTAGCTCATTGTAAAGCATTTTTATTTGACACGTTTACTTTTTTTTCGTCGCTTGAAAATTGCTTTGGATTCAGAACAACCAATGTTAAAGGAAAAACAGATCATTCCGTCAGTCATGAGGTGGAATAAAAGGTTTTGAACATTTCTTAAGAGGCGAGTAATTTTTCTGATTGTGCATCCGATTAATTTATGAGTTGATTTCGCCGGGTTGAATTAAAACCCGCTTGTATTCTCAGTGTGTATTCTGTTATTAGTAGTTACGGTTACTTTTTTTACATGCCCAGATTTATTACCTTTGCAGAACCAGCTTTATCTTTGTCTTCAGTCAAAGAACCATATTGCTGTAATGCACGGTTACTGCAATAACTGAATGATCGATAGATATCTAAACGCTCCTATTTTCTCAAAAGCTATAAATCTGTCAGGTAAACCATAATTCCGAAACCCTTTTTGACCAGCGAACAAAGTGCGAAAATAAAGGAGCATCGACACTGGTTTACTTTCAGAGGCCACTGGTAAGGGAAGACAACAGGTTACTGTTGTTCCGACTGAATAACCTGCAATAGGAGACCTGCTGTCTAGTGCTGCTATCCGAGTGGAAACGAGAAAGCGTAGGGAAAGGTATCTGCTTTGGGTTGAGGAAAACGTGAAAATAAAGGGATTGTGTGAAATACGCGTCAATACATCACAGACTGACAACGATTGTGGTCTAATCTTTACAAGGGTATGGGTCAGAGTTATCTGTCAGCAAAAGAACGAAACCTGCCTTAACTGACTAATTAGCTAGTTGACAAAGCACTACAATCTCTCAGATTCAGATTGGCGGTTAGCAGGAAATCTTTTATAGACCCATTGGGCGCCTGGGTGAGTAGTCCCTATTCTTGGCTGGCGATACAGCAAATAAGTTGAACAACTGACACTTGCCAGACATTAGTTAATCCTTGTTATAATACCCAATTTTGGTTGTTTACGCGGAAAGGCATCACAAGTGGACTTGTTTGCAATTTCAATTAATGCGCCGTTGTCTTAGAAGTCGGGTTATCTTTGAACTGTATAATTTGCAATGAGATAAAACTTGAAAACTTAATGGACGTCTTTATATCGTCAAAAACTATTTTAAAGCATAATTATCATTCAATAGAACAACAAGAGGCCGAATAATTCAATAATTGGTTTTATTACGCTTTCGAAATATTACCCAGTTCTTAACAACCTTACCTCCTCGCATACTTTTTCCAAAACTTTTTACTTTTTCTCGGCCCAGTTTGAAAATAATTATGAATAGATGCTTTTTTCGTTTCAGATACTTCTCAAAGAGTATAGCAATATGTTTGCGTATTCTTGCATTTGTCTGTTCAGTTTTAGTCAGAAGATCGGCCATCTATAACCCCTTCGGATAGCCGTGTACTCTTCCGACCTCTAGCTGTTTGGATGCATGTTTGGTGCTGTTGCATCGCTGCTTCGAAACCATCAAAGTTGCATCTCAAAGTTGTTTAACACATTCATGATAAGCAGTGACCCCATTTATTATAAAAACGAAACTACAACCATTTGCCATCTAGGATCCGCTAGTTTGAATTAATTCAATGTTTAAAGCTCATTGATAATAATATGTTAAGGTCATCATATGATAAAATTTAACTTTCCCTTTTTAAGGCCGTATATTAGAAGCAAAGAAATTCTGAGAGAAATGAACATTGGTGTAAATTAAACATAAAAAAATATAAATTGCTCATTTTCATTGATACAATTAGTACCTAAAAGACTGATCTACATTGACAGTTACAATAATAAATGCCATTAACTAAGTAAATATTATTTCCATTTTCATTTATTAGGTTATTTGGTAAATTCAAATTGTATATATTAAGTTGAGATTTCAGTTTTCAGTTGTTTTCCTTTTCTTATCTTTGATTGACTGATTTGATAGATTTGTTTTTGTCACTTTACAGGATGTAGAACATAGATAAAATAAACAAGAAATGATGGCGTGGAAGCCTGGGGCTTATATAGGTTCCAGCCTCTCCCAAGATCAATTGAAGTAGACATCACTTTAGAGGAAAGACGCGAATTTACAAATATTCTGGTTTTGGACACTTTTCGATACGCAGCTAATGAATTTTATTCGAAAATACTTTTTACTGTTTATTCTAGACTTTTAAAATAAGAATTTTAAAAGCCTATTTGCAGTATAAATTTACTGTGCAAAGGGTCAAGGAGGTATCGTTTTTTGAACTGACAACTTCAAGAAGTCGCGAGGACGTCAGTGGGTTTCATCATGTTACGTTTGGCCCCGGTGGTAAGCCAGTCCTAACCTAATCAGTATTTCGGTAAGATTCCTGGTTCAACCTTTGAAAGCTTTCACGGCTTTCGGGAGTTTTTCCCCCGTTTGTCGGCCATTTTTTTAAGCGGGCGCAGGAACGTGAAGTAAAATTACGTCACATTGTTTACCAAGTTTGACTGGTCAGTTGTCTTTTCGTCTCTTTCCAAATATAGCACTTTCGAAAATTAATAATCACGAGCATCGGACGAAGTAAACATATGAGAGTGACACGTTTCAACCCCTTATGAGTTTTTGATAGCATACAATTGGTCTTCTTAATATTCAAAGAGAACTTGTTTGCTTGAAGCCATGTAACAATTTCAGATAATTCAAAATTTGCCGAGTCAATCAGATGTTCATGGTCTTTGCCTAACAAGAAAATATTAACATCGTCTGCAAACAATTGTAACTTCATTATACGAGAAACTCTGCAGAGATCAGTTACAAAGAAAAGAAAAAATAAGGGTCCTAATATATAATATAGTGCGGAACGCCGCATGTGATTTTGTAATGCAAGAGTAGACTGATTGAATTGAACAAACTGCCTTCTATCGTAGAANAATTTTTTGGGGCAAATCACTGTCCAAAGATATGTTGTTTTTGTGTCCACAGAGGAGCTCCGGACCTTATATACCCAGGAACTTCCTTATATGAACACATTTTGTGAATGCATCTCGAAAAAAATCGGACCTACGCATTCACATTTCCTGCAGAGATCAGTTACAAAGAAAAGAAAAAATAAGGGTCCTAATATATAATATAGTGCGGAACGCCGCATGTGATTTTGTAATGCAAGAGTAGACTGATTGAATTGAACAAACTGCCTTCTATCGTAGAAATACTCTTTCATCCAATCTAAGGCAACTCTGCGTATGCCAAAGTGTTGTGATTAACGGTGTCAAATGCTTTAAACAAGTCGTGGAAAATTCCAATAGCGAAATCTTTATTATCAAGAAAGAGGAAATGTTTTTGAACACGTTAGTCAATGCCAAACATGTTGAATGGTGTTTCCTCAAACTGAATGGATAAATAGAAAGTATGTAGTATTTATAAATAAAAGCCTGGAAATGGTTAAAAGTAATTCCTGCAAAACAATTCGAGAAACAGGATAATACTGAAATCGGTCTATAATTACTAAATATTTTTGGGTCGTTCTTTTTGAAAATGGGTATTATTTTGATATTGTCTGGGACAACGCCAGTAGAAAGAGATAAGTTGATAACGTGAGTCAGCGGACGACAAATAGCTGAGGCAAATAGTTACATTATGTGATGGTATTCATACTTAACTGTCGAAACCAGTAGCTTTTCTACCTTGGAATGTTTTGCCGGGGGGATCAATATCTGTTCATTTGTGGTTAAAGCAAATACATAGTTGGATAATTACCACTTAGGTAAGGTATAGGAGAGTGAGTAGTTGCAGGGATTTGATCGGCCAACGATTATCCAATATTACATCAGCAATCCGAGAAAGCTGCTCGGTAAGATCGGGATCATTTTGGATTTGCGTTTGTTGACAATTTCATCGAAAACTGTCCATGTTTTCGCTTTTCAGTGCGTAAGATCAGCCCTTGCTTTTGTAGTTGTATGTAGGTGTTTATGATAAGTTTACTTGGATATCTTTAGTAGTTTTCCTTTAATAACTTTTATACAGTTTGTTCTCTCATCTTGTTTGTTGTAACTTGCCACTTAATTGATTATGAGTTTTGCTAAACATGGTTCTCAAAATCAGTTTGCAATGGCAACATTACTGTCGATGTACGGGTCACAAAAAGCGAGGGAAAAAAAAAACAGAAAATGTTGCTATGTGAAATGTTGCTTTCACAGCTTAACGGTTTTGAAGTAATCGAACTTAAAAGATGAGTGGAAGCTCGAAAGCCCCTTCCCCGTGGTCTGAACAGGGTTAAGGTAGCTAAATGTTCAAAGCCCTCGACAAAGTTCAATCCCTCCCTGATCTACTCTTTTGGCCACTAGGTACGAACTCCAACATATCATATTAGGTAGCTCTTTCTTGTTTCAAAGAAAACTGCCTTTCTTGTAAATCGTCTTAAATGAAATAAATGAAAACTGAATGAAATAAATGAACTCAAAATATAATTTTATACAAACAACAGGAACACAGGTATCAAAAATCTAAATTTTAATATCATTTAAAATTTACCATTTATAAAACTAGAAAAACTTCAATTTTTCAGAAATCGAATTGTTTGGCAATCAGAATATCTGAAGCCTTTTTATATAATTACCGTGTCTCTTTACGATGTTTCAGTTTACTGCACTCACTTTAAGCGGAGTAATAGTCGCTCTACGAGCTTCCACCGAATGGTTATCCTCCCAGAATTATAACATTCAAATGGTTTGACTCATCCTTTACCCAGCCGATATTTAATACTTTTCTTAGGCTTCCCTAATTCAACGGATGTTTCTTCTTCACCTTCATCTGTCTCCTCTACATTTGGCATTTGTGAAATCAGAGTTGGTGAAATCAAAGTGGCTGGATTGCTACTTTTCTTCTGTCCCGTTTGAGACTCTTTAAATGTTTTCTGGGGCTCTATTGCAGATTGTCCTTCGAGAGCTTTGTTTCGAATGATCTGATCAAAGGCTCTGTTCAGATTTGTGCGGAGGCTAGGAGAAACGTGAGTCTTAAAAAGTTGTTGTCTTCGAAGAAGAGCTGCATTTTCATCGTAACTAGAGTAAATAAGACAGAAAAATATAAGGCTAAGATGGTGGTATTCGCAAAAGTCTTTTACTGAGATTAGTTTTCCTAGTGGCTCAACGCCATAAAAACAACGCGCGAGTATTTCGTTGGCTGCTTTTTTAGGATTCATAGGTCTGGAATATGTAGAGGCTGGTCACTTAAATCCGCAGTGTGGAGATGTGGTCCTAAGTAAAAGTCTGGAACTCTAATAACAGGTCGTATTTAATTTGGGAGTTCCATTGTACGGTCTGTATAGTGAACAAAGATGGCATTCTGTATTCCATAGCTAGTGCTTTTAAAGTTACATAATCTCAGTAATACCAATAGTACGGTACGCAAAGCCCTCTGTTCAAAATTTTCTCCTAGGGGAGCGAGGGTGGCGCAGTGATGAGAGCACTCAGGGAACCAAATTTCGGATGTGTGTTGAGTTTGTTGGTGGTTTCCTCCTTTGCTTGCTCCGAGAGGTTTTTCTGCGGGAACTCTGGTTTTCCCCGCTCCTCAAAAGCGAACATCTCCAATTTCCAATTCCATCTGGAACATACGGACACCCTTGAACAAGTTTTTAAGAATTCCTAGCCCGTTTTGGAGTTCATGATTTTTACTTTACAAATGCTCAAAAAGGTTAGCTGTAATAGAAACCGTCAGCTTAATTAATTTAATAAACCTACCCATTACAAAAACCACAGGAGAAAGGACACATTTTCCTTAATTGTTGTATAGAGTGTAAGGGTGATGGGTGATTGCACATTCCTCTCTTTGCATAATCCCTGCACTCTGGTATCATATCACGGCACTGATCTGTTGGTAGATGGATTGTATAAAAATTTATAATAATATTGATATTAATAATAATTTATAACTTTACTATAATAGCGCCTTTTAACATTTTATATCATCAAAAGCTCTTTACAGTCATATTAATTTAAATTTATGAAATGAATCCATTATAGATAAAACCGACAGAAGGTAAATATGCTGATAGAAATACATTAATAAAACGAGGTTGACTAATCTTGCAAAATTATCACTGCTTATTGCTTCAGGAGGACACGAAAAAATGGCTTGAACGAGTTGAAAAGAGAATACACTGTCTCGGGAAGGTTTTGACCTTACTTGAGAGGGCACTTCGGCACGTTAAGGTTTTGAAGTTTCTGTGGCAACTAAGTACGACTAGTCAAGATCAGTCAAGTGAAAAAGGAACCGTTCACACAAGTTAGTCTTAAGTACAATTGGAAATTCCAGTGTGAACCCATCTAATGTAGGGGCGGCAGCGGAAAACGATCTAGCGCCTAAAGATGCCGACATACGCACATTAGGATGTTCTAAAACAAGTGCTGCGATATTAATGAATATGAAGAACAGGCCCTAATGCTAAATAAATCGCTGATGTAGCTAGGTGATATGCCCTGAATGGCCTTAAAAGTAATAATTAAAATATTAAAATAGCTACGATTAAACTCTGGCAACCAATGAAGATTAGAGAGAACTGACGAGATACCGTCTTACGTCCTAGTGTTCGAAATAAGTCTTGCCGCGGTGTTCTGGACACCTTGTAACTTAAAAAATCTGATATCTGGGCAGCCCATAAAGTAAACTGTTACAGTAATCTGGTCTTCAGGTCACAAAAGCATAAAATAATGTCTGAAGGCACTCCTTCGACCAAATTCGACGGATGTTATCAATATGATAGAAACCGGCTTTACATACTTGGTTAAGACGATTGTTCATATGAATTTATGAATCACTATCGGTTATAAAATCGAAATGTCTTATTAATATCTTTATTATTTTCTAAAATACGAGGCAAGAAATTCACGTGCAAAGGGCGTATTGATCTTTTACAAGTAAAAATTTTCCACAAATAGAAATAGAAAGTTTTCCTTTTTTAACAAAACAAGGAAACGAAAACACGAAAGCATATTGTCAAAAGTTTTGATTTTAATTAAGCAATAGTCTACAAGAAAGCATTTGTGAATTTTTATATTATAAACATGATAAAGCTTTGTTTCTGGGTTTCTTAGTTAAACCCGCATCATTGAAGTAATTCAGATATTTACTCAAAGCACCTATCAAACATCTTGTAAATATACTCTGTTGTGAATGTAGAAAGGCTAGAAGGAGGTCGCCTCTTCCTCAAAACCAGAAGGCGTGCTCACAGGGTTTTTCTTTTTCCAATTGCTAAAGTAAACTCACCCTTGACATTGCTGAAGTAAACTCACAAGCCACATCAACATGTGCGATGAGTCGGTACAGGTTACGCCGATTACCAAGAAAGTTAAGCAAACCCAATTTCTTTCATACAGAAAACCCCACAGCAAAAATTTTAACTTTGCTTCCCATCACTGTAGGAAACGTATTCAACAATACAACCGGTTACCGTTTCCTATTTGTAGCATTTTACGCACCTATGAATATAGGAGGTCCTCTAAGGGGGTGGTCCACGATAATTGGTCCGTGTGGTAAAACTGGTGCAGCTGGTAGAATTGGCCGTAATCGCTGTCGCTGTGGAAAACACGGTGGATGGCACGGTCCTGTGACCTGCGGAGGTGCTATGTAAGGTCCTTGGATGGGCCCTGCAATTGGAGGCGCTGGAATTCGGCATGGAGGGTAACAGGGCCTCCGGATTCTTGGACGACGTAGGCATTGCGGACGGCACGGGCAAGGTGGTTTTGGACAAGGTAAGCATATTGGAAGACATACCATAGGACAAGGCGAAGGAGGTTCTTTAGGGGGAGGTGGTGGAGGTGGGGGAGGTGGTGGGGGTGAAGAGCAACAACAGCAAACACACGCTAAAAATTAAAATAAATGAAAGACAGATTAAATTGATAAAATATATTTAATGTGAAAATATACATCTTGGATAAGAATGCTTGAAAACCCAAATTTCGAAATGCTTAGCCTGTCCAAAATTGATGAGGTTTCGACTGATTACAACGAATGCAATGAAATGACCTTCCTGCGCGACCACCTCCCATAAGCGACCACCTAACCTATAGTTCAAGCTTGTCGAAAACAACTACCTCTCATGAGTTTTCAACCTCTCTTTACGCATGGTTTTATCTCTATGTTTGCTGTTTGTTTTACGCTACGCAGAGTTAAAGGAAAAATTTAAGTGACGGGATGGAAGCAAACATACAAAATGATTTCAATAAACTATTTTCAACCCTGACCGAATCTTGTGAGCGATAAACACCCCACCACTAAATCTTCTTTTTATCAGTGGGGTCGCGTACGGGAGCTACACTGTACGTTTTGCAGGAATAACAATAAGAAAGTAATCCAGGGTCCTTTTTAATGCAAATTAAAGTTGTGCATGTGCATATGATATTGAAAACAATGCCAGTGAATAATGAGGACGCTCACTTTGTTTCAAAACATTTCCAAAACGCTCTCATAGAGTTTGTTCAAACTTTGCCATAACCGAGGTAACTAAGGGAGGTACAAGCTCCTTTAAGCGATTTATGAACTGAAAAACCCTTAGAACTAAGAAATACAAATGCAAGTTAAAAACGCAATTGCGTCATTATGTTGCCATGGTAACTCTGATGTCAATAAAACATGAATCATAACAATGTCTCATATTTATACAGAGTAACTGTTGTAACCTTTTTGCGTTATCTTTGTTAATGCCAACGTGGTAAACGCTCAAAGTGGTGAGGTTTACTCCCTAAAAAATCCAGTCGAGCCACCTTAAATAGCCGCTCAGAGCCCAACAATTCGCTCGTTTTTTTTATTATTATTATTCGATTCTACATCTCCAAAGCATACTTAATTTGGATATGTGTTGCTCGAGACGTTATAGCTCAATCCATACAATTAAGCTGAATTGCCAAAAACAAGTGGCCCTAGATCTTGATATCTTTTTTCTCCTTGAAGTTTGAGACTGTTTTCATGGAAATCATGAAAAATCATGAAATTAAAAAAATGGAGAGGGAATCTTTGTACACGTTGTTGTGGTAGAGTGGTAAAACTGTAAGATGCGCGAATCTCTAGCGTTCCTTCCTATTTTTTTTTTTTTTTTTTTACCGAGGATTTGGGGGGGGGGGGGGGGTTTAAAAAAAGGCACTTCGGGGAAGGGTGAAAGACAGCATTGAAAAAACGATTTTTTCGAAATTCCATTTAAGTATCTCATTTAGGACAGAATGTGATAAAGATTAATACAGCAGTACACATAATTTTTAGAAATGTACTTACGTGTGTGACACACTGCAATGGCCATTATGAAAAAGAGAAAGAAAACATTAGGTGAATTAAAAAAATAACATTCACTGGACAAAAAAATAGAATTTCACAAATTTGTTCCTTGTAAATATGTCGCAAAAATATAATAAGGAAGGAGTGAACCTTCGGGCAAAGATGGTAAATGCCACATTTGCATACCAAAAAATACGGGGTTGCAAATATGAAGACACATGTGGCATTTAATATATTTGCCTCAGATTTAATCCTCAGTTTTCACATTGTTACGACATATTTGCCAATTGCAAATTCTTGCAAATCCACTTTTCGTCCCGGTGATTATAACAACAACTGATATATAACTGCCCGGGCTTATTATACAATAAGAGCTTTATTTTCCACTTTGTTACTGGTATGTGGCCTGCACAGCTTTTAGGGACTCATCACCGCATATATGAATGTGTATATTGATTCTACCAATATTTCAAAGGTAGTCAAAGAGAGCATATGCTAGTGGGTCATCGACCCACGGCGAATCCCAGGACAATTGCCTCAAAAACACGTTCTTCATTGTTTTAGGTTTGCGGCAAAATAATAATTTGAAGTTTTCCTCATTTAACTAACCTTTAAAGAAAATTGTCGACTTTTGCAAAGAAAAGAAGTGGTGAAATAATTAACATACCTGGACAGCCCGGGCGACAAATGGACATGGGATCTATATTGGCTGTGACCATAACAAAATAAAAAAACAGTTAGAAAAGGCTGCAGAGGCTGTTAATCAATTGATAGACCCCTTCACGGTTGTTTTCAACTTTTTACTGGAATCATCACTTGAAAATACATCAAAAAGAAAGTCTTAGTTTTACCAAGTATGAAAGTGGTACATTTAATTTGAAAACTAGCTTAAGGCCATTTACCTAGAACGAGGGGGTATGTGATGACCGTGTAAGGATCTTATGTATTTCACTGTTCAAGTGGTGCCCTTTCATTCCATGAACATAATCATTATTACGGTAACTAACATCGTCCAATGGCTTCTGATAAGAACCACCTGACAATGAATCGTGGGTCTATTGGTCCATGCTTTACCGAGGTGTACACATAAAATTGCCGAGTTTAAAACTGGCCCTGATATGATCGTTTTGCGCACGGCATTTTCGTAACCTTAATGACAGCAAGCATAAAGCAACAAGTTGAATATCAAGTTATATTTTTTCAAGAAAATTGCCTGAATAAAAGATGGGTTTTCCACCCAGCAATTTTTCGTGTGACATGCAAATTAACGAGGCAAATAAAAGGCATTAACACACGTTACGTACTAAGAAGGAGAATGGTTATTAGTAATCATTAGACTGAGAGAAGATATAGTACATATGTGTGCAGTGTCAAAGTATCTTGAGCATTCTAGTTGGACACCGACAGTCAGATAAATGGTACCAAAAAGAAGACAAAACAACTAAAATTACATCAGTGGTGGAGCATGCATAGTAGAAGCAAGTTTTATTGATTAAAAGTTAGTATTTTCATTCTCTCTTAAACTTATTATGCAGTAGAAATATAAGTGGCGTACAGTTTCCCTCAAGTTTTTGAACCAAAAACTTTAAAAGACGTTTTACCTACATTGGTGGATAATCTTGGACTACAAGGTGTAGTCTCTTCAACGATCATACTCACTTTCAGGACAACAACAGCACCCGCCAGGAGAGCAATCGTTTTGTTGAAGAGGTGGTCCACTACTGCCATCATTCAACTTCTTGTAACTAAGACTCAACATATAGTGACCTGTCTGATTTTGCGCCTCGGCTGATTTGTCTGGATATATTCTTATAATTGTCTCTTGGTTTTTATTGGAAATTTGGGGAAGAAGTAATTTAGCAACTTTCATTGGCATGTTTATACGGTTATAAACATGATAAAGCTTTGTTTCTGGGTTTCTTAGTTAAACCCGCATCATTGAAGTAATTCAGATATTTACTCAAAGCACCTATCAAACATCTTGTAAATATACTCTGTTGTGAATGTAGAAAGGCTAGAAGGAGGTCGCCTCTTCCTCAAAACCAGAAGGCGTGCTCACAGGGTTTTTCTTTTTCCAATTGCTAAAGTAAACTCACCCTTGACATTGCTGAAGTAAACTCACAAGCCACATCAACATGTGCGATGAGTCGGTACAGGTTACGCCGATTACCAAGAAAGTTAAGCAAACCCAATTTCTTTCATACAGAAAACCCCACAGCAAAAATTTTAACTTTGCTTCCCATCACTGTAGGAAACGTATTCAACAATACAACCGGTTACCGTTTCCTATTTGTAGCATTTTACGCACCTATGAATATAGGAGGTCCTCTAAGGGGGTGGTCCACGATAATTGGTCCGTGTGGTAAAACTGGTGCAGCTGGTAGAATTGGCCGTAACCGCTGTCGCTGTGGAAAACACGGTGGATGGCACGGTCCTGTGACCTGCGGAGGTGCTATGTAAGGTCCTTGGATGGGCCCTGCAATTGGAGGCGCTGGAATTCGGCATGGAGGGTAACAGGGCCTCCGGATTCTTGGACGACGTAGGCATTGCGGACGGCACGGGCAAGGTGGTTTTGGACAAGGTAAGCATATTGGAAGACATACCATAGGACAAGGCGAAGGAGGTTCTTTAGGGGGAGGTGGTGGAGGTGGGGGAGGTGGTGGGGGTGAAGAGCAACAACAGCAAACACACGCTAAAAATTAAAATAAATGAAAGACAGATTAAATTGATAAAATATATTTAATGTGAAAATATACATCTTGGATAAGAACGCTTGAAAACCCAAATTTCGAAATGCTTAGCCTGTCCAAAATTGATGAGGTTTCGACTGATTACAACGAATGCAATGAAATGACCTTCCTGCTCGACCACCTCCCATAAGCGACCACCTAACCTATAGTTCAAGCTTGTCGAAAACAACTACCTCTCATGAGTTTTCAACCTCTCTTTACGCATGGTTTAATCTCTATGTTTGCTGTTTGTAGTACGCTACGCAGAGTTAAAGGAAAAATTTAAGTGACGGAATGGAAGCAAACATACAAAATGATTTCAATAAACTATTTTCAACCCTGACCGAATCTTGTGAGCGATAAACACCCCACCACTAAATCTTCTTTTTATCAGTGGGGTCGCGTACGGGAGCTACACTGTACGTTTTGCAGGAACAACAATAAGAAAGTAATCCAGGGTCCTTTTTAATGCAAATTAAAGTTGTGCACGTGCATATGATATTGAAAACAATGCCAGTGAATAATGAGGACGCTCACTTTGTTTCAAAACATTTCCAAAACGCTCTCATAGAGTTTGTTCAAACTTTGCCATAACCGAGGTAACTAAGGGAGGTACAAGCTCCTTTAAGCGATTTATGAACTGAAAAACCCTTAGAACTAAGAAATACAAATGCAAGTTAAAAACGCAAATGCGTCATTATGTTGCCATGGTAACTCTGATGTCAATAAAACATGAATCATAACAATGTCTCATATTTATACAGAGTAACTGTTGTAACCTTTTTGCGTTATCTTTGTTAATGCCAACGTGGTAAACGTTCAAAGTGGTGAGGTTTACTCCCTAAAAAATCCAGTCGAGCCACCTTAAATAGCCGCTCAGAGCCCAACAATTCGCTCGTTTTTTTTATTATTATTATTCGATTCTACATCTCCAAAGCATACTTAATTTGGATATGTGTTGCTCGAGACGTTATAGCTCAATCCATACAATTAAGCTGAATTGCCAAAAACAAGTGGCCCTAGATCTTGATATCTTTTTTCTCCTTGAAGTTTGAGACTGTTTTCATGGAAATCATGAAAAATCATGAAATTAAAAAAATGGAGAGGGAATCTTTGTACACGTTGTTGTGGTAGAGTGGTAAAACTGTAAGATGCGCGAATCTCTAGCGTTCCTTCCTATTTTTTTTTATTTTATTTTTTACCGAGGATTGGGGGGGGGGGG